CTATAGGTCTAATAATGAATTATTGTGATGTTAAATAGACAATGTTAGCTATCAAGGAGCGACGTTGTTTTTCATTGGGACCTTCGTCCCTTCAAGGCTAGGCCTATACCATCCTAGTCTACAAACGTCGCCTAAAGTAATTGATTTTACCCGGCAGAACGTAAGAAGGAAACTCCGCTTTTCAGTCGTCTTAGGCCATTGTTTTTTGACAATGACCTTTCAGAGGTCAAATTGCTGTCAAGAATATAAATTGGCGGCTTCGCAGCAATAAAAGTCTTCATTTTATCTATTTTCAGAAGAAAAAAAATCACAAAACTAAAGTATTTCAATACAGGAACATTGTACTGTAGAAAGATCTCACTTTATCTCATTAAAAAAAATACAAAAATGATACTTTTTTTTGCTTTATTCGCTTTTTTAATCTAAATTAAAGGACTGATCGTATAAGTGTATATATCAGCATTTTAGAGTACAGTAAGAAATAGGCCTAGGGCCTAGACTTCGTTTTATTTATTTTCAGATAAAAAAACTGACACAAGATATTTGTAGAAAGATTTTTTTTATCTCATAAAAAAAACAAACAAAAACAATATGGAAAACTATCATCATTACTTAGTTAGATTAGGCCACCACAGGAATGAAAGTTGTAGGTTTGCGTCCACCGCCCGCATGCCTAAAATGCTACCGCACGAAAATTTTCATTATTTTGAAAAGTTCATTATTTTGAAAAAAAATATACTTCGTTTTAAAAAACGGACTTTCTAAGTCGTATAAGTGTATATATCAGCATTTTAGAGTACAGTAAGAAATAGGCCTAGGGCCTAGACTTCGTTTTATTTATTTTCAGATAAAAAAACCGACACAAGATATTTGTAGAAAGATTTTTTTTATCTCATAAAAAAAACAAACAAAAACAATATGGAAAACTATCATCATTACTTAGTTAGATTAGGCCACCACAGGAATGAAAGTTGTAGGTTTGCGTCTACCGCCCGCATGCCTAAAATGCTACCGCACGAAAATTTTCATTATTTTGAAAAGTTCATTATTTTGAAAAAAAATATACTTCGTTTTAAAAAACGGACTTTCTAAGTCGTAAACAGACAGAAAAAACTATCTATTCATCACTGATCACTCGTCGCTAACACCGAGCGAAGGCAGGCCTGCCCACATCGCACCATGATCGCCGATCACTGCTGAGGTAATTTACGGGTCAAATCGATCTTTCTGACCAATAGGAAATCTCGTATGTTTAAAGAGGTCTTAAATGTAGAAAAGGATCTGTTTTATAGGCTAGTGTACATTTATGACTGTAAGCATTGTTTCTTGGGAATAAATGTAAAATTACCAATGCCGTGGCTTGTGGACAGCATTTATAAATAAAAAAATAATGAATAATGAAAAATGAAAAAATGCCTCATGTGTTTTTAAAATTTTTCGGATGCAAACCTACAACTTTCATTCTCGTGGCCTTATACCTGCAGGGAAATTAGTATTATTATTAGATTACATCTACGCAGAAATGCACGGACGGATTTCTAGGCTTAATTTTTGAGCGGCGGATACATTCCGCACAGGCTATACTTTACAGTCTCGACCGAGGCTAGGGCCTAGGCCCTACTAGGCCTCCTAGCCTAGATTAGCCAACTCAGTGGGCTAGGGCCTAGGCCCCACGGCCCTGGCTCTAGGCCTAGATCTTGTGTGCTAACTACCCTACTTTTGTAACTTTACTTACTTACCTCGCCAAACTGAAAAGCTGATACCAGCACTAAGACAACGCCAGTAAAACATAGAATGGTTCCATATCTGTGTGATAGACACGAATATGTCTGTTTCTGTACAATTTTAAACATTTTTTTATATTTAATAATTATATAATTCGATCGAAATATCAAATGATGATACCATCGATGTGGAAGCTGCCATGTTGTAACACGAAAAATAGAGGGCGTCATGACAGTAAATATAAGAAATTATTCACACGGTAGTCAGTTCCATAGAAATGTGGCTTGAAAGGGCATGGTTGGGCCATGCTTTTTATTACACTATGGATATTCGTCCGACCGAAATACCGTAGTACATTAAGAATAAGAATCCGATTTGACTTAAAATCGTCGAAAAATATCCACTACTGACCTCGTGTGAATATTGAGGTTGGTTTTCTGGGTTTCTTTTACCTTTCGATATAAACCGATAATAGGCATAGGCTAGCTTTAGCCTTTAAATTCAGGGCTAGGCCTATGCTAGCCTCTCAGACTCTAGTCTAGCTAGTGCTAGGCTAGGGCCATCCATTCATAGGCCTAGTTAGGCCTATCTATGGTTATGCATTGCATGGGCCCCTTTTTAAATAGGTGCCTATCCAATCAATATCTAGGCCTTATAGGCCCACCATAATGACAGTACTGTACTGTATATGTGTATTTATGTGTCTCTGTCGCCCTATTTATTTAAGTTATAATTATTGATTATTATATGTCTGTATGTATATACCTGTATAAGCCTAATTTAAATTTACTTTAGTGTATTTTATTTAGGTATTTTTAAAAAAGTTATGTGTACGGTGTTTAGGTCAAATCTTTTTAGTGTATTATTTCAGTATAATTTATTGGTTATTTTATGTGTATTTATGTCTCTGTCACCCTATTTATTTCAGTTTTAATAACTATTGATTATTATTATTATTATTTTTTTTTTTTTTTTTTTTTTTTTT